TTTTTTTAACAAGAAATAACTTACCTGAATTAATTTAAAATATAATTTTTAATTAAAATAAATAATTTTACTTTTTATTCTAAAAAATTAACGAAAGAATGCCGAGAAGAAACAGGTGAAAATTAAATAAATATTAAATGCCATTACTTCTCTATAAATAATATTCCAGAATAAATAATTAAGTATACCTTGCTAATTTATTATTTATTAAAAAATATCGTTTCTTTAAGTTTTTAATTAATTTTTTATTTAAAATTTTAATTTAATTACTTTTAAATACTAGACAAATGAATTTGAGTATATAGAGTTGTCGGTTCTTGGAAAATTTTCGGATATCCGGAACCGAACCGAAAAATTATCGGTTCGGTTCGAACCTAAATAACCCTAAATTTGAGTAGTCTATATTTTCTCTTTATTTTATGTACATCTCCTAAACATTATCTCATAAACAGCATATTTTCGTTGTACTATTTTTGAGTGATCAAATAAAATATTGAGAAAGTGTAAATTTATATTGTTTTAAAAATTCTGATAAATAAATTAACTAAAATTAATAAACATTTATTAACTGTTTTTGTAGGAGTAATAATTGTTGAAATAAATGCTTCGTTTCAGAATGCTTTGTTTGGATTAATTAAAATTGAAAATATTTCGGGATCAAAATGAGAGCATAGATAACAACCGGAGGATTATTACCGTGTTTTTATAAAATTCAGTCGGGATCGATCGAGGGGGTTATGATGGTCTATAACTGAATTAGCTAGAATATTTGTGTTCTTGAATTGAATCTTTCTTTGATGAATCTTAAATTTTTGAAAGTTTCAACCGACAAAAGTAAAGAAAAACGAATAGAAACTCATATACCCTTTATACAAATTAAGGTTGGTGTAAGACGGGATCTAGTTCCTGATTTTGTAGTTGCATTCCCTCGAGAGTTACTCCAACATTAAATTTAAAAATTACTCCAGCATGTGAGATCCCGTAAATCCCGCTAATTTAAAAAAATATGTCTCTCTTAATTAATAATTATCTCTAATTATTTTACGTGTAATGCACTTTTACATTTGATAATTATTTGTTAATCAATTATTTTTTCTTTAAAAATCTCGGCAATTCTTTCATGTCCCCTTCGCCCTTTTATTTTTAAAATTATTTTTTTAAAATTCACGTGAATATATTTTTGTTTATGTCTATTAGATGCCGTCTAGAATGTATTTTTATATAAAAATAGTCTGTCTGACAACTTAAAAATAGTTTTTGGCTATTCAGAGATTTATTTTTAATTTTTTAAAAATAACTTATTTCCTTAATTAAACAAAATTTAATTTATTAAAATATTTATATTTATTTTTTAATTTAATTATTTTTAAATTTATAAATTTATTGCCTAAATTTCCTCTTTAAAAAATAATTATTTAATTTTATTTATTATTTAAAATTTTTAAAATTTAATTTAAAAAGAATAAAAGATATGTATTATTTTATATTAATTGTCTATTTTCAATTTTTGGTTAATTATTTAATTATTTCAAAAGTAAATTGTGTTGATGATGAAAAAGGAAAAGGGTTGGGGTTATTTTAATAATACATATATGTACCAGGATGTTTCGGGTTACTCAAAACCCGACCCCAATTTCAAAACCCGACCCGAAATCCGGCACGACTTTTTTCTCGACCCGAGACATCCTTGACATGTACTTAATTGTTAAACGCATAAATATCAGGGGGTACAGCCCGAATAGGCGCGCGGACAAGTAGGCGCAAAGCCATAACTTGTTTCAAGATTTCCGAATCTTTCAAAATTTAGTTTTAAACGATTCCTCTCATCGAGCTAAAGAGATTGCTACCAAAATTGTTAAGGTCCAGAAATTTTCAGGCTAGTTATGGCTTTACGCCTACTTGGCCGTGCGCCTACTTGGGCGTGTCCCATATCAGGCGTGCTCACGGATACTGATATATCCGCCTCCGTGGATATGGGCAGATACGGATATAAAAGACCATATCAGGACAAAAATTGCCGCGGATATAAACGGTTATGCCCCAAACTTTTTATCTGGACACGCCTGATAATATTTGAAAATTTTTTATTTTAATTAAAATTTTTTGCAATAATTTAGTGTTGCGGAATCATCAAAAGATTTAAAAGGTAAAAATATGCCTCCAAGTTATTTTATTATTGAAAAGATGGACAAAGTCGTGGAAAATTTAGATAAAGTATCTAAAGTTGAAGAAAAATCATTAAAAATTAGAGGAGAAACATCTAGTGAAAATGAAAATAAAATGGAGGTTATTGAGGAAGAAGATGAAAATGAAACAAAGGGTGAGGAAGAAGATAAATTAAAAAAGAAAAAAGAAAAAATTGAGAAAGAAAAAGAACATTTAATTAAATTATCTGAATATGTAAAAAGTAAATATATACTTGATAAAATGGCTGAAATTAATGTATTAACTAGTATGATTTATCAATTTTTGTTTAATAATAATCTGAATGAGGGATTATCATCAAGTAAACTTGGAAATATTTTTAAAGAAATTAATGAAGCTTCAGAAAAAAATAAGGAATTTGAAGTAATTTTTTATTTAAATTTTAAATAAAAAAGTGAGGGAAGTCGGTCTACTGAAGATGCCAGCCGCCGATTTCAACCCCAGCCGCCGATTAACCTTTTGCATTAGCTAAAGGAGAGAAATAGCTATAGCCCAGCTTTTTAACTTTTATTAATTATTTTATTCGTGTCCGGACAAAATATCGAATCGTTAAAATATGGAATGGTTAAAATATCGAATCGGGTAAAAAAGGGTTAAAATATCGAATCGTCAAAATATCGAATTGATAAAATGTAGACACGGCCAAAATATGTCAAAATGTCGAATTATTTTAAAAATTGTGCTAAAACTAGAACCCGGACGGTACCGTAATACCGACGATATTTTTCGGTATTCCGTGTCGGTAGTACGATACGGAATGCCGGCCGATAAAATTTAAAAGCTGATCGGTATTTTTCGGTATTCCGTACCGTATACGGTAAGGTACAAAATTTAGGTCTTAATTAAAAACTAGTGACGCCACTCTAATTTTTCCGTATCAGGATCCTGTTGTGTTTTCCTGATCCGTACGATAATGCCGGACCGGATCCGGTCGATTATGCTTGATTTATACGGTCCGATTTTACTCGGTAAAATACAGTGAACTCGAGCAGAAAAGATTACGCCGGACTATGACATACGAGACTTATCAATCAAATTATCAAAAATAAGTTGATAAAATTATCAACAATCAATGTATGGCACTCATCTGACCCTTTTTTAAAAGAATTCGACATTTTGACCCATTTTGGCCGTGTCGACATTTTAACCATTCCATATTTTAACGATTCCATATTTTGTACCGGAGCCATTTTATTTATTTTAGGAAAAATTAAAAAATGATGAGGATATTACAGTAATTAATAACAAAGAAAAAATATTTGTAGAAGGATTAATATATACAGCATTTCAAGTACAAGGATTTTTTGGAAAGTTAAAATTAGAAATTGTTTTAGGGCAAAAATTAGAAGAATTTAGTAATGAAAAATTAGACAAAAAAATAAAAATTGAAGAAATAAGAATTGATAATTTTTTAAAAAAATATATGATTGATAAAAATGAGTAGGTTTTTTTAAAAAAATATATAAATATTTTGTAAATTCCAAATTTTAAAATTAATTTATTAATAAAATAAAATTTAAAATTTATTTAAAATTAAGGGGAATGTATAAAATCGTTTTTTAATTATCATAAAATAAACAGAATTCTGCCAAAAGTTTTTAACAAAAAATTAATTAAGGACACGAAAATATTTTTTAATCTACTAATTTATTTAGTTTTTAAAAACCGAAAAATTTTGAAAATTAGTGATTTTTTAAATTCCTCCAAAATAAACATCTCATTATTTAATTAAAACTCAAAATAAACAGGAGGGGTTTTTAATAAGGATTAATCGAAAAATGAGTGTAACGGTTAATAATTGGTTATATTCAATCCTACATATTTTTAAAATTAAGAGAAAGACAGTTTTAATTCTTAATTTTATAAAAAATATTTTTTAAAAAATATTTTAATATTTTTTTTCAAATCTTAAAGGTACCTTATGATAAAATATGGAAAAAAGAAGAAAAGTAAACTTGAAGGTGCAATGAAGAATTTGAAAAAAATTAAAGAAAAAATGTAATTTTTCAAATAAAAATATTTAATTTTTTAATTATTTTTTTAAAGACAAATTAAAAAAGACGTAATATTACCACCAAATTCTTCAAAAAGTAAAAAAATAATAAAGGATGAAGAGGGTAATGATTTAAATAATCAAAAACAAGAAGCAATAGATAAGATTAAAGAAGCAATACTAGATAAGATTAATAAAGCAATAATACTAGATGAAATTAATGTGGATTTAATAGGAGTAAAGGTAAATTTAAGTATAATTATATATTTACATACATAATTAATTTATTCATACCATTTCTGGAAAAATTGTAGCCATACAAAGTTTCGAGTTACTCTTTAGTGAAATTATAATTCATTAATTTGGTCAGATTGTGTTGATTCGAATTATGATTTTTATTTTCTTTTGACATATATCGAGATTCTACATATATCGGGATATCAATTTAAGAACTTATTTCAGGATTTCAGGACCTATGGGCGCTGGATCATAGATAGTACATTGCCCTATTGAAGAAAAGTGTGTATATCTATCCCTATTAGGGTTGCCGTTATCGAACCGGGCCGACGTTCGAGTCATTTTTTCGGGTTTCATTTTTATCGAACCAGGCACCGAGTCTTTTTCGGGCCAAAATTATTAAAAAAAAACTCCACACACCGCATACTGAATTTTTATGCGCCTATATGTAAACTTCCCGAGATTTAATACCATTTAATACCATTAATTAAATAACAAACTTTACATTTTAAACTTTTAATTTATGATTTAAAATATTTAGATTTATTATCGTCGATCTATTTGGATGAATCGTTTAGCCCAAGTTTCAATAATTTTACAAAAACATATTTTGGAAATTATAAAACAAGAAAAGACTTCTTGGAGTGAATTAACTAAGACATCTCTAAAAAATTATTTAAATTCTTCTCAAAATTCGGAAAAAAGTACTATAGAAGAAATAAACGAAAAAACAATATTTGATATATACACGAAGAAAGTAAATGAAAGTAATTCGCAAAGATTTGGAAACGAACTGTTTTCGAAAAAAGGAAAAAATAATAAAATAGGAGGATTAGGCTTTATGACACCACAAGCATCACCATTGAGAGTTTTTACGAATAGCTTGGGATGTAAAGATGTTGGGGAATGTTCTTCTAAAAATAATGAACAAAAGTTGGAGAATACTAAATTTAAAAATTAAATTTAATTTTTAATTTAAAGGAGATATAGCTTTAGCTTTGCTTCTCCCATCAAAAGTTTTGTTGCATCCCCACGTCGTTTTTTTAGTCAGAAGAAGGATTCGTTTTCTAAATCAGGAAAGAGGTAGTCTTTTTATTGAAATATTGGAAACAGATGAGTAGGAGATGAAGAAAATATCATATGAATTAGAATACACTCTAGCCTTTGGGTCGCAAAAAATCTTAGCATATAAGGTGGGATTATTGCTCAGGCATTTCCCCATCTATTAACCAACTATGTAGAATGAAAAAATAGAAATGTACTTTTAGGGTAAATAAATTTTATGCCCGACTATGATGTAATAATTAATAGGGTTGTCGGTTCTGGATCGAACCGAGCCGAAGAACTGAGGATTTTTCGGTTCGGTTCTTCGGCTCGGTTTCGTATATCCGAAGAATTCCTAATAATAATTATACGACAACCCTAATAATGATTATATATTCTTTAATTTAGTGCTGCTTCCAACAAATTATATAAGAATTCCCGTTCTTTGGCAATTATTTGGTTCTTTGCTGAGCGAACATTAAAACCAATACTTTTAAATAAATTTGATGTTAAATTACATAAAGAAGCAGAAAATATAATTAATTCTTTGGAATTTGATCCAAAAATTTTAAAAAATAAATGGGTTGAAGGTTGGGAAGACGTCATGGTAAATGAGGATCAAAAATTATTTTGGAAAGAAACTATTATTTTGGGACTTCGTGTTTTGACTGCATTTGAGCGAATGAAAAAAATATATGAATTAAAGGTAAGCTAGAAAATTTGGGCAGAAATTTATTTGTGTTATGTCCGTATTTTTCTTTTATCCGAATCTGATCGGCTATAACTTTTTTATGCTTGATTTAAACCGAATGAATCTTACTTATATAATTATAAAACTCTTGATATTCACTCTTTTTCCCTTTTGGATAGATCAAGTCTGATCGCCTATTAAAAGTTTACAAGTCGATAAGTGTGGAAAACAACGATTGACGATCAGACTTGATCCATCCAGTTGGGAAAAGGAAAGTGCTTATCGAGAGTTTTCTAATGTTATATGTAAGATTCATCAGGATTGGTCAAATTCGGCCGATCAAATTCGGAAAAAAGGAAAATACGGCCATATAATACAAGAGTGCCATTTAAAGTTTAATAAATTAATTAGAATTTTAATAAATTTTTCTAATAAATAGGGCTTTGCTACCACGGTTATTGGAAAAAGTGAATTTAAATTTGAGACGTTAGAGAACGAAGAAAAATTAATAGAGGATATTTCAGAAGAATTAGAAGAAGCTGTTTTGAAAAAACTTGTTAATTCTTATGAACATAATTAGTGGGGGAATATTATAATTCGGAAAAAATATTAATGGAAGGGTTGGATTAAATTAAATAAAAAATTTGATAGAAATTTAAAAAAAATGTCTGAAAATCAAAAAATCAGAAAAATAAATACAGTCGGATCTAACTTTTATATACACTTTTAGGTGTCGAAAGTAGAGTTGTTCCCCGTCCCCGAAAGCCGGAGAATTTGAGAGATTTTTTTGGTTGTCCCCCGCCGTGAAACACTCTAGTTGAAAGATTGTTTGTAATTGAGTTTAGTAATTAGTTGGGGGATCCTTTATGGAACTTTCCCCACCAGCCGCTAACCGAATTGAACAAATGTAAATTAAATTGAAGTGGAGGTAAGCGATCTAGCCGACATAGGGAATTTCCGATTTTTTTAATTCCCGATTTTCGCTAATCGGTATATGTTATTGTGTGTAGATAAATTTAGATTCCGACTGTGAATTAATCCAACCCTTATTAAAAAGTAAAAACATAGTTTGTAAATTTATTATTTAGTTGGTATGTACTCTATTATTTAACAAATAAAAGTTCAGAAAAAATTTTGTTTCTCTTGTCAATAAAAAAAAAATTAATCAAAGAATTCCGTAAATTAAAGCCGGAAACCTTAATCTAAAATATATTTTAAACGTTTATAAACGTGGTGGAAGGTGGAAACGTTAAGCGAGATAAAATATGAAATTAATAAAAAACAATATTAAAGATCTCGTCCAACCAAATTCAGGAAATAAAACGTGTATATGTAAATTAAGACAACGGAAATTGAAAGCATGGACTTTTGAGTTAATTCAAATCGGAAATAAAAAAAAATAAAAATAATTTTAAAAGGGCATTTGTTAAACAGGAAAATAAGTGCATTGGACTTTTACTTTTAATGTGAAAAGGAAATAGATTTCGATATTGAGAAAATTTTAAAAAGGGGAGGGAAATGATTAAAGGAATGAGAGGAAATACCTCTAATAAATTAAATTTCAAAATAATTAATTTAAATATTTAAGAAAGGGGAATTAAAGGGAATTTAATTATAATTAATATTTTATTTATAATTATATTGAAAGATTTTAATATAGCCGGGGACCTCATTTGTAGACACATCCAATACTAGACAAATCTCAGATTCAGGATAAATTATGAATTTGTTTAGGCATTGAAAGGAAGAGCTTCCTAAGCAATAGAGATCGAGCTGGGCCTTGACTAAGGCCTGGGATTTTCCTGTATTCAGGGTCAAGGCCCAGGCATTTTTTTACCTTCCTGGGTTTTTCCTGGGGGTTGTCCTGGACTAGAGGCCCAGGATCCGGCCCAGGTCAATAAATTAACCCCGGCACCCAGGAACAGGCCCAGGCTTTTCAAAAATCCCGATCTCTAATAAGCAATATCTTCTTTAAAATATTCTAGCAACTCCCTTTCTAATCAAGTTTACTCCCCTCTCTAATTTAACATCCCGTTATTCAAATAACTTTATTAATTACATATATAATTTTAAAAATTCAGTTGAAAAATTATTTATTTAGAAAATAATTTCATATCAAAAATAATGTATTCCTCCCAATTTTTAAACAAAAAACAAACATTTCTTCTATTTTTAATTTTTGTTTCTCAATTATTTTTTAATTGTTCTTCAACAAAACGTTCCCGTTCAGACATTGTTGCTCCAGCAATTCCTTTTTTGGGAACAGTAACTCCCTGTGTTGACTCTGATGGAGTACCTATACAGTGGCATGTTAGTGTTAAATGTGTCAAAGGATGCAATGAAATTGTTAATTTTTAAATTAAATTTCAATTTAAATCCAAATTTTAGGCCAAAAAGCGTGGATATAGTGATTTTACTATAATTACAAAAACTCCTCATGGGGCTGGTTTTATCTTTAATTTGGTTCCGGGTGTAAAAGATGATGGAACTGTTAAAAGAATAAGGAAAATAATTGTGAGAATTGAATCTACTAGAGAATTGGCTGGGCAAAAAAGGGTAAATTATTAGTTGAATTATTAAGGATTTTAATTTAAAAAAGATATAAAAAAGATTTAAAAAATTAACAAGATGTCAATAATAGTAGTTTAAAATAGAGTTGGCCGGTATCGGAATCATGACACAAAATCGGCATCGATATTTTGGATGATGATACCGATCCCGATACCGGTCTGGGTATCGGGATTGGCGTATCGGGATTCCAAATTTTTTGCTAATACACAAATCCCAATATCGATCAATCTCGCTATTAAAAAAATCGGTATCGGGATTTTAAAAAACCGGTATACCGCCCGATACCCGTCGGGATCCCTAAGACTTTTCTTGGGTCAGCATATTTCCCTCAAAAACTAAATTTATGGTCAATTAATACAGGTTCCAAGACTGCTTATTTATATGGAAAATATTATTTTTATGACCTCCTAATTTCTAGTCCTATCAAATAGTTTAATTGAGATTATTATTAAAAAAGTTTTTTTGAGTGCACTATTTTTAAAAATCCCCTAGTTAATCCGGAAATGAGATTTTTGGAAAACTCATTAAAAATATTAAATGTTTAATTTAATTAATTTAAATATATTTTTAAAGGCAAATAGCTGGACTTTGGAATATCCAAATTTCGATAAAATCCACAAATTCACCTTTGGACATTTCAATCCAATTCCAAACAGTCAAAGAGGCCTTTCTTTAAATATTAAATTTACAATTTCAATAGATTTTAATTTATTAATAAAAATTAAAAATGAAAGGAAAATGGTATTTACAGCAATAGTTCATGATAAAAACAAAAATGAACTTTCAAAAAAAGATTTAGAAGAGAATGAATGGATGGGAATTGAACAGATTGAAATGATTTTAGATGAAATTAAAATTAAAAATTATTTGAGAAAAAATAGAGAACATTCTATGATTTTTAGTGTTTTTGTGGTGAAACTTTTTAAAATAGTATGTAAATTATTTTTGAATTTTAATTAAAGGTACCAACAGTTGTTTGTTCAATTTGCGGGCAAAATAAGAGATCCCTCGGGAAACTTCGTTTATTGCCTGGTTGTGATGTATGTTTTATTTGTTTATTGACAATAAAATTGGAATTCTTTGAAATTTTCGGCAAAATTTGGCAATTTATTGGCAATGAAATAATAATTTTAAATTATTATTTTAATATTTTTGATATATAACTCGAGGGTTAAGAAGGAACACGAGGTGACCAAAATCGAATTTTCGGGTGTATTCCTTAAGTATCTCGTCAAATCCAAATTTTAAAAATTGTATCTATCTAAATTTGTGTACTCAATAATCTAATATTTTATCCATGTAGTAATCAGAGCTGAGCAAAATCTAAAAATAAAAATGCGGAATCCGAAACTCTTCGCGCTGAAAAATGTGAAAAATGCGAAATTAGCCCAGCTCTGGTAATAATCCTATAAATTTATATATTTTCAGCATTTTATCCACAAGGACTGTGCAACAAAAAAGTTGACATTTTTATTCATTTAAATAAATTAATTTAACAATTTTAAGTATAAATAACGCGGATCGTTTAAATACTTCATTAAACAACAGAAATAATAATAGTGGCGGATTGTTAAGTAAAATTCGAAGAGATTCTTCAAATTCTCCCCGCTCAACAACCTCTTTACCTTTAATTGATATATTTAAATGTCCAATCCAAAATTGTCCAAATACACAAATTCCAATTAAAAGAGATTGGCAAAAAAAGTTTGGGAAAATATTTAATATTTATTTAAATTATTTTTAATTTTAGCCCAATATTTCCTTTCAATAAAGAAATTTTTTTGAAAGAAGAAGAAATTTACAGTGTTTATATTTCTATGCCAATTCTTCAAGTAATTTTAATTAAAATATTAAATAATACAGATAGCAGCTTTTGGTGCTTAAAAATTATACCTTATTGTTGGCATCACTTAGGAAACGCCCCACTAGGGTTGGGCAGGACCGATTTTAAAGCAGGAATTTTTGATATTTTTTGACAAAAATTAACCTTTTTATAAATTTCAAAAGTGAAAATTTTTTAAAAAATTTCACCAAAATAGTAAAACCTGTATTTTACTAAAACTCAAAACCAAAAACAGATTTTTTAAACATGTTTTAACCGAAAACCAGGGATGTCTTCAAATTAAAAAAAAGACTAAATTAAATTCATCTCTTTCTCTTATTTTGTTTCTCCAGTTTTTACTCTCGCCAATACTAAATCTCATCGGTATCCTATACCGGACTCGGTATCAGCAAAAACAGTATCGGGATTCAAATAACCCGGTAAAATACCGCCCGATATCGGTCCGGATCCCGATACTGGCCAACTCTATTTTATTTACCATACTAAAAAAATATAAAAAAATACCAAAAAATACCTAAAACAAGTTTGATTAAATTTAAAAAAATAAATTTAAAATTTAATATAATTTTTAATTAAAAATTAAAATATAAATTTAGAATGGTCAAGAGCCAAAATATACATATGAATTTGCACCAATTTATCAAAGTTCATGGTCTAAATTCAAAAAATTTTTCATTACACCCAATTACAATGAAGTAAATACAGAGCTTGTTGTGCCTAAATTTATTAAAAAAGTTGTTGAAAATTTGCCTTCTGCAAAATTTATTCCGCAATTATCTTCTTCTCCTTCAAGAGCTTTAACTGGAAATTTTGGCAGAAATGGTCAGAGTCTAAGAAATAAAGCTCTTGGATTATTGAAAAGGCCTTCCTCAACACCCAATTTTCAGTAAGTTTTGAAAAATGAGCGGGATTGAGAAACAATAGGGACTCAATAAATAGGTACATATATATCTTTTGGAGCGAAAAATATACCTTGTATCAGAGGTGGGTCGGAACTGGGTCAGAACAGTCAGAGGTGTCGGAAATAGGAAGAGCCTCAAATCGGAACTGGCTCAAAAGTCGGAACTCGTAAATCGGAAATCAAATTTTTTTCGGAAATCGGAAAACAAAAACGACGGAAGTCAGAAATCGGAATTTCGCCCACCTCTGCCTTGTACTATGTACTGAGCTGTATTTTAATTGGAGGTGTTTTATAGAGATATTCGATTGTAATATGAAAAATAACGATATCGGAGGGAAAACAATGTTTAAGCATTAATTAAAAATAAATTTGTGTATACATAATTAAATAAAAACTTTTTTCCAAAGAACTTTAATTGATGGAAATGAAGAAGAAATTGAACATCAATTAACAACAAAAAGACAAAGAAATAATAGTACTTCAAATGTGTTTAAATTTACCGAGCCTGGACCTAGCAACAATTTAAAAATAAATAAAAAAAAGAGAAGATATTTTTCTTCGTTTGATGCTGGGAACAGGAAAATAAATTTTGAGTTTGTCTTGTTTTTAAATTTTTATTTGAAAAAAATTTTTTTTGAAGTTTGCCCCCACAACCAATTCACCATCGTTGCTGTCAACATTTTAATAATCCCTCTGTTGAGTATGTACAAAAAGATAATTTAGTAAAAACTGAAGAAATTTCTGAAGAGATGGATGATAAAGAAAGCAAAGATATACAAATAGCTATTGAAAAATCTTTAAATAAAGGGAAAGAAATTAAAGGAGAAACGTCTAATAAAAAAAGTAGTAGTAGTTCAGAAGAAGAAAATACTACTAATTTTCCAATGGAAGAAGGGGATAATCAAATAAATAATTTACCTCCAGATTATCTTTCTGGTTTGTTTTTAAGGAGAAATTTAAAGAAAAATTTTTTTTTCCATTTTTTGCGCCGCAGCAAAAATTTTGACTCTGCTTGGAGTGAAATAGAAAGGAGTTTTGAACGATCTTTAAGGGTAACTTAAAAGTATATTTCCCCGATTATTTGGAAAGATAAGCCAACAGCCTGTCCAAAAAACCTAGTAACCGCATAGATAATCAGTGTTGGGTATTGCTGGGAGCTTTTCTTTGAGCAAGAGCCCAGCTTTGATTTATAGCTGTCATTGACCTTAAGTCCTTAGAATCTCTCCATTGGAGTGAAATAGAGGAAAAGAGAGTGAAACAGAGAAAAATATTTTTACGTTCAATTTTGGTGTAATTTTGGTGAATTAGCCAAATATCTCTTCATATCCCCTATATAGTATTAACACCCCCTATGCAACATTAATCATCCATTGATATCTCTCTTTATTACTGCAAATCCCTCGTTATCTCTTTAAATTCACCATAATCCTAGTAAATCACCGAAATCTTCTATACTACAACTCCCCAGATTCATCAATTTCAGCGCCGCAGGCGAAAATTTTGGGAATTTTAGAAGACCAAGAGGCCAGATTTCTTTATTTTTTATAAATGGAAATATAATTTTGTCAGAAAAATCCATTCCTAGGGGTGTAAAAATTTCCCGACTTAGTCGGGAATTGACACCGGGAGTCGGGATCGGGAGGCCAAAAACTCGGGAAATTTTCCCGAGTCGGGAGTCGGGATCGGGATACCCGAGCATCACTACCGGACTGATGTGTTAGCCATTATACCACGCCTACTGCACAGCCTTAGGAATTAAATAGCTATATGCTTTACAATATTTATTTTAGTTGATGTTGATTCTGATGATGCTGGACTTAAATTGTGGGATCAAATTTTTGGAAGTTTACAGGATCCTCGAAATAATAAATAAATTGAGGAATTGAAGAATTTTTAAAGAAAAGATTAGAATTGACAAGAAAATTTCACGACATTTATTTAAATTTTTTTAATATTTAAAATTGATATTTGTATTTTATTTGTATATTTTTGTATTTTATGTACATAGTTGATTAAATAAATTTATTTTTTAAAGGTTTTTAAAGAAAATTTTAAAAAGACTTTTGCAATTTGGAAAATAAATTTTAATAGAAGAAAGTAAGCAAAAGTCGCTTTATAAATTTTTTATTAGAATACACAACATCTTTATTGATCAAAAAGGAAATAGAAAGAATTGATTGAATAAAGTGAAAGTATGTAAAATGTTTTTCAAAGTTTTTAATTAAGCTTTTTTTAAATATATACATACATATGTAGCTTAAGAAGGTTTTTAAATAACGTTATTCTTTAAAGATTAAAATTCTAGAAATTTGAGCTTTAAATATTTTTATCGATATTTTTATTCTTCGACATGATCTCTATTAATTAATATTTTAGATAGGCGCGGGACGGGATCCCACACGGGATTTTACGGGATCCCGTCCCGAAATCCCGTGTTTTGCGCGGAAAACGGGATTACAGTGATTACCGGGATTTACGGGATAAATCCCGCGGGATCCCGTCCCGTAATGAATGTTTAAAAAAATCCCGTTACGGGATCCCGGGAATGCGATTTTACCGATCTCTCATGTAAATATTAAGAATTGATAATAAATTAAAAATATTATTAACGCTTTTTTGGCATATTTTTATGGCGTTCTGTTTTTTTTGTATTTATTTAATATTGATTATTTTGGTTTTCTTGTTTGAATTTTTTTCCAAATTAAAATATTTTTCAATTTAATTTCTACATAGATTTATTTATTTAAAAAATGAGTGATACTGAAAGTAACAACGGGACAATTAAAACGAGTAATAATGTTCGTCTTAAAGCAAGTATTTGCAATACTTGGCTTCGTAAAGGTTATTGTCCGCGTGGATTGGCGTGCATTTATGCACACGGAACTGATGAACTTCAGGATGGGTAAAAGAGAAATTTTTTTAATTTAAAATGTTTGAAATTTTTGTACGGTCGTTTACGCCAAGTAATTTATATAACAGGGATTTGGTTTTGATAAAAATAAATCCCCCCTTAGATCCTGATATGTAGAGAGCGAGCTGGATCTGGATCCAGACCTTGATTTTTTCTGGATCCAGAGTCAAGATCAAGGCACTTTTCAGTGTTCCTTGATTTTTCCTTGTCTCAAGGTTAAGAATCTGGTCAAGGTACCCAACCGAAATCAAGGTCAAGGGTTTTTTTTGAAAATCTCGCTCTCTACTGTTATGTAACTACTCTAATGATTTTTTTCAACTTCATTGAATTTCTGATTCTTTACATAATTTTGAAATTTGGGTTTTTATGATTTTTAAAATCTGCAATAAAAAAATTTTTTTAGAGAATCTGAGGAAAAGAAACAGCCAACAGTCATTTGCAAATATTGGTTTACTACTGGATGGTGTCGAAGTGGGGACTCTTGTCGTTTTCTGCATCCACTTAATGACAAACGAATTCAAAATGATGAAAATTTGAAAGAAATTGAAAATAAAGTTGTTGATTCTTCTGCAAATGTTAAAGATGAGAACTCTTCTGTTCGTGGAGGGAAAAAGGTTTTTTGAATTTTTTTGAATAAGGATTTTAATTGGTTGGAATTTTGGGAGTAATTTATCGTTTTATTTTTTTATTTAAAATTTTTTTTTATTTTGTTTAGTGTAGGAGAATAATCCAGAAAATTATCTTTTAATTATTTTTCCGATCAGTTTAATTTAAAAATTTTCTTTGTTAAATAAAAAAAATAAATTTTTTTTCTTTTTTGGATTACGAGGCACTTTTGGATTTTTTCATTTAATTTTTTCATTTAACTAAAGCCCGTCTCTATTAGAAGCCCATATCCGATATAAGCCAACCCAAATTGACTTATTGAAAAATAGGCGCCCAGGGCTTTAATCTAAATCCTTTTATGCTAAAAGGATTTATTTTCCTTCTCTTATAATTTTGAGCGGTTCCCATTTCTATGAGCATTTTCTTTCAATAAAAATATATATTTTTTTTTGGTTCTGAAATATTTTTTTTAGAATTTTGGTTCTCTTCTTAGTCTTTCGAATGATCCGCCTCCATCTCTAAAAACTAGTGGAGGAAGTAACAATCAGAAAATTAACAACAACAACAATACTGCCAAGAATATTTCATCAAATAATTGCTTTTTGCATGCAAATCGTCTTAAAAATCCATCAATTCCACCACCTTTGATGTGTGAAAATGTTGGAACTTTTGGATTTTTTCATAGTCGAAGGAATGGAAATGCTGGTGGATCTTCTTCTGGAGAACGTTTATCTGCTAAAGGAGGTCTGTAAAATTAATTTTTGTTTAAAAATTAATTTTCTTTATTTTTTTCATTTTTTTGGGTTACGAGTCTTAATTTAAAAGAAATTTTTCGTTTAAAATTTATAAGTATTCTTAAAAATCAGGCCCGTAGCCAGGATTTATTTTCGGGTGGGGGGCCAAGGGGGGGGGGGGGATCTTCTGCGCCGAATTTTTGGGGCCGAAGGCGAAAATTTTGAGAATTTTAGAAGGACGTAGGCCAAAAAAAATTCACTTTTTTGCCCGATCCCTTCCCCAAATTTTTTTCTTTTTCCCATTTCGGGGGGGGGGGGGGGGGAGATTCCCCCCTGGCCACTGGCCTGTTTAAAACAATGTCACCGACTCAGATTTTTTTATAATTCATTTTTATATATTATTTAGTAATAGTCTGGATCCAAACTATTACCTTTATTTTCATATATTATTGCTTTTCTTTAAATTTAAGAGATTCTTTCAATAAGTCTTGTATATTAATTTTTTGATATTTTCGTTATTATTTTTGGCGTTGCTCCATGTGCTTTGTCATCCTAGGGTCATAGATACAAAACGATTCGATACATAGGCCTCAAAAATTGTTAATATAATTTAAAGTATTTTTAATTTTTTAGGCAATAAATTTCAACAGCGTGAAACTCAGGACAGTTTTGATGATGACGACGAATTGGTTTTGTTAGATAAAAGATTTAACAATATGGAAAATAACAATCTTTTTGGAAGCAACAAAAATGGTTGAGAGTGAAATATGTTTTTTGGGGAAAAGAAAATATTTGGAGGGTTTAAAATAAATTCTATTAAAAATATATTGCTCATTTTTTGATTGTTTATTGAAATTTTTTCAAAAAAATTGAATTTATGAAGATTACCTACATATATATTATTATAGTAGTATACATTAAGGTTGGCGGTTCCCGATATCCGGAACCGAAAAAACCCCGGATATCCTAAATCTTCGGTTCGGATATTTGTTCCGGAGATTTCCCAGGAACCGCCATCCTTATTATACATATTAATTTATTTTTACTCATTTTCTAAAAATATTGTTTGGATTTTAAAAAATTTTGAGTAAAATTAAATTGCTACATTTTTTAAATTTATTTATTGATGTTATTTCAACTCAAAAGTTATTTACTCTCAATTATATTTAAACTAGAGTTGGGCGGGATCGGGATCCCGGTCGGGATCGGGCGGGATTATCCCGGTTTTTTTGAATCCCGATCCCGATTTTTCTGATCCCGAACCCGAAAGACAAATCCCGATCCCGGTTTTGGCCGATCCCGAGCCGGGATCGGGACCGGGATCGGGATTAGCAATCGGATCCCGATGAAATCGGGATTTTATAAATTAATGAAAATATAAATTAATGAGCTGAAAAGAAAGCAATTTGGCTTCTACGCCATCCAAAATTTTCAAAATTTTCGCCTGCGGCGCTAAAAATGAAGATTTTGGCTTGAGAATCTTCGAAATTTTTGCCTCCGGCGGTGAATAAGAAGAGACTCATTTATAAAACTATCGACGGAATGGATTTGAACGGATATAATGGATATCCTAGATGTCCATCTAGATCCCAATATCTCATTAATCAACGATATCCCTCTTAATCCATCAGAATCACCTTATCGTTAATACTTTATCCCTCCTCCTTAATCCCTGATACGCCAAGAACAAATGCGCGCTGGGACTTAAAATCAATATTTCAGCACAGCAGATGAAAATTATGGAATTATATTGAGGTATATGCAATGTAAATAAAAATTTAAATTTTGAAAATTTTTTTTAACTAAATCCCGATCCCGATTTTTCAATCCCGATCCCGAGTCGGGATCGGGATCGGGATCATTATTCCGAATCCCGATCCCGATTTCGTCCAATCCCGATCCCGCAGTCGGGATCGGGACCGGGATCATCATTCCAAAATCCCGATCCCGATTTTACGTCGGGATCCCGATCCCGCCCAACTCTAATTTAAACTCAAAAGTGGCTTTAAATTATTTGATAAATACATATTTATGATAGAATATTTAAATAAAAAATTAAAATTGAAAATTATTTTTTGTCCTGATTATAAGCAGAACAAAAAATGTTTTTGATAAAAAATTATAAGAAAAATATATTTAATCTACAACAAAAATGGTTGATAATAAAATATGTTTTTTTGGGATATATACAATAATATATTAGACATCTATATTTTTGATAAATATCATTTTTTAGTTAAGGCAAAGTTTGTTTGTAGAATTGCATTTATCTGGACAACCTGAACATGGGGTTCCAATTTCATAAACTCCAAGAGTTATAACATTTCCACTAAAAAAGTATTTAAATTCTCAAAATTATTTTAAGGAAGACATACACAGGATCATAATTACAAACAATATAAGTCTTATAACGATCACAACGTGCCAAACCACATCCAACTCTATTTGTATTCCACCACGCCATTTGGGTCCAATGGCCAACTCCTCTGCCATTTTGAGCTCCATTAAATGGAATCCATGTATTATTCTCTTCGGGTCCAAGAGCTCCTTTATATACCAATTCTGACCACCATCCAGAAAGAGCATTATAAAGACCAGTTGCTAAAATATTTAAATGGAATGGACTTTTGAATTTTTTAAAAATGTCTTCTTAAATAAAAATACAACTAAATATGTAGGTAATTAGAAAAGATAGCTTAGATCAACAGAATTGAAGGAACTACATCTGAACTATTCTCCCTTATTATTTAAATTGTTACACAGTCGATCATTTTTGCCGTATTTTCTCTAAAATAATCCCCGGGGGTTATACATATTCTTGATCGACCTCTAGAAGGGGCTACTTTAGAGAGAAAGCGGGTTATTTTAGAGAGAGAGAGATGGGTGGTTATTTTAGCGAAAATACGGTCGATACGTTTTAGATAAAACCTTTGGTCTGAAAAATCGTGGGATATCGCATACTTCCCTCCAATACCTACACCCTCCCAATCCCACCTCACATCCATTCATATAAGAAATATCTCAAATTGAGGATTATCTAATTAATCTAAAAGCTAGTTTCGACTTTTATAAAAATTTTCTTCAAAATTAATTGACGATTACTTTCATTATATTCAGCTGGAAATGCAGAAAAACATTCCCCATAAACGTATGTTCCAGAATGGCTATATGTACACTTGTCTGCCCATTGTTGAGCAATATTTTCTAAATCAACAGAATAACTCATTTGTTTAATATTTTTTCCAGTAGGCATATTTTGTCCAGATAAATTAGCACTTTTCCCTTGAGTTAATTGTGAACGGTAATCATTGTGAAGGGAAACAACATAATTACGGCCTTCGGGGGTTAATGTTTTTATTAAATTATATTCAAAAATTGTTATTAAAATAATTGTTGTGAGGAGGAAAAACATATTTAATTGTTAAATTTTGGGGTATTTTGGGTAAATTTATTTTTAAATTTTATTTGGCAGATTGCATTTAAATAGGAGTAGATTTTAGGGGGAATTTTTGGGGGGAATTTTCTTATTTACGTAAGTAAAGCAATAATTGTGTTATGATTAATAAATGTAAATAAATATTTTAAAAATTCCTTAACAAAAATAGAAAAACCTCATTTTAGTACATAAATTTATACAATTTTATGTATATTTATAGATGACTTTCCGTCAGTTTTCAATTTTAGGGGCAAAGACTAAAATTTTTTTGGCCGAGTTTTTTAATTGTTTATTTATCAAAAAAACTTGGATCGGTGTTAACTAAATATATATTTTAATGTTTGTTGACAAATATAAAATATAAACCAAAAAAATATTTTGAAAAGTCAAACAAAGTAGATAATAGTCACGTTTTTTATTTTTATTATTTAAAATATTCAAACTAGAAGCAGGACATTTCTCCGCGAACTCACTTTACACTAGGCCATAAGTATGTTAACAACTGAGTCCCGGTCCTATAACTCAAGTACGGGTTGATAATTTTTAATGTTTTAGGTACCATTTGATAGAGCATTAGATGGACTACATTATACCAAAAAATCAAAATTTTCGATTGATTGGTAAAAAATTTATGATCCAAAAACTAACTTTTTCAAAAAATGAGATTTTTCGGCACTTTATCGTCATAACCTTTTTTTACCAGTCGGTCATTAATTTTGATTTTTTGGTATATTGTAGCCTATTTAATGCCTTATCCAATGGTACCAAGAGAAAAAAAAGTGACCATCCCTTCATAAGTTATAGGGTCCGGCAGTGAGTCGGAACTCAACTGGGGTGTACCGCTATGTTAAATATTTCTGGAATCTCTTCGAATTTAATATGATTCGAGAATGTTCGAAGA